ATTCCACCTATGCTCTTAGAGAGCGACTGTCTTAAAAAGTGCAGTTCAAATTTATCTAACATGCCTCTCTCTAGGATGCTCCTGTAGATTAGCTGGATTGGCAAAGCTAGATTAAGGCCGCAACTAAACTCTGCAGGGTGGCTTTTGAAGAGCAGGGTTGGAGACGCCTGATCAAAACTATTAAATACATAACATTTAGTTGAAAGCACAGTCCAAAGTAATCAGAAAAGGTAATCTGATCCAGTAGAGCCTGCAGAAGAGCTCTTTCACGTCGCCAAGGACACAGTGGCAGCAGTCATTATTTGAGGTCCAATCCATGACCTCTGCAGTCACAGCAAGCTGTCTGACTTCTTAAACTCTGAGCAGCACCGTTGAGCAATTACTGCCACAGTTACTGTTTCTAGTTATCGATGAAAAGTAGGGATTATTTTTAATCACAAATCAATTAATCAGCGAGATATAACTAGGTAGAAAGTCCCCGTCTGCTTCTTTTATGCTTGATGAACACAATCAATTATACAGGCTTTAGTGTGTCTTAAACTCTATTTAGTCAGTTTCAGCTGTACTAGGTGTTATCTAAGCCAATATAAATTGCATTTATTAGGTGTGTAAATTGCTCTCCTCACAACGATTCAATTTGATTGTTGTTCCTTAGGAAACAATTCAATGCATCATAAAATCTCACCACAATCTGATTCAATGTGATTAGTTTTTTCAAAAATACACTGATTACATAAATGTGAGTGAATTAACTATGTACACTAGGGATTTACCTGTGGAATACCTAGCCTAATAACAATACTCAATAACTAACATCTTGTTATGGCCAATACCAATACTAATAACCAACACCTGTAGTTATTTTGCATTTTAAAACAATTTCACACTATAATCCATACATGAAGTGCAATGAGTCCATGAAGGGTTAAAACTCTAGAGGATTAATGATGAATTTTAGAATTTCAGTCTGACAGAGCTGATTTAGACATTAATTCAGTTTTAGGTGCCTAAATAATAAAATAAATAAAAAAAAACATATAAAAAGTAGTGCAGTGTTTTATTCAAATTTGATCTGGCAAGCAGGGAGGACCAATGTCAGGAGGTTACAGCTTACAGGAATTCATGCATAAACAAAATACATCTACATATACTTACTGATATCTGATACTTCATATGTCAATATTAAAACACAAAAACAATTCATAATAATAATAGTAATATCACACATATTCAGTACACAGTTCTTGTTTTGTTGCCTACTGGCACTGTGTCACTAAAATTCTTAGTCTTATCTGCATATTGTTATAAATATTGTTGCAAAACGTTTTAAACTGTAATGAACAGCTAGTCTACATAATAACTGATATCTAACAGCTCTTTTACAACTCAACTATGATCTTTTTGAACAACCATCTCACAACCACCAAAATTCTCACATAATTTCAAAAAGTAGGGATGACCCCTCATCTCCCTCTAGAACTGGCACCAGTGATTTTATGTATGTCAATGTGTTTGGTTAACCATGTTCAAAGCTCTCCTCAAGGAAGCCCAGTACTAACAGCAGTTATCATTCAGTACCTGGTTTAATTAGTCTTAACATCATTAAGTTAAATCATGTGTGCTGGTGATGGATTTGATCAAATCCATGCAAAAGCTGGGGGCACTGATAAGAAATCTGGAATCAAACTTTCTTCAAACTAGCCTAAAAGACATAAAATTCCATTAAATTCTTATTACTTTTAGCATATTTCAGGCTTATTTGCATTTATTCTAATTATATCTACAAAAAAACACACTTATTGCCATGGCAAACAGTTTAAATAATGTGCTTAGGTGGCTAAGACTTCTGCACAGTTCTGTGTATCACTGTTGTCGGAAGAAAACCTTGTATCTCCAGAATGATAACTTTACAGGAGAAGGAAAAAACCTACTTTGCTTTTAATGTAAGTCAATGGAACCAGAGCTTTTTCCAAGTAATTTTGGGCCATTTCTTTTAGTTCATTCATCATGAAGCTTACAAACATTGTAAAGGGCAACAGGCACTTTTAAATTATGCCAAAAACTGAAAAGTACATAGTTGACACTAGTTATTGATTTTGATAATTGGCTGATTATTGGACCAATAATAATAATTGAATCTGCCATTTATCGGCCAGTGAGATGTCAGCCTCTGATATCGTGTAGCCCTTATTTACAGAAGAACTGAACATTGGCATTAAAACAACACAGATAGGATTTTTTAAATCCGAGAATTTTACTTTGACCCAGAAACGATAAAAAAATCTATTCAGAAAAAAACTGTGTAAAAACCTCTGTGGATGCCATGACAAACAGCTTTGTTCTAGAGATGACGTGGACCTGACGGAGAACAAAAATGATCAGCTCACTGTCAAGACATTCCTAGTCTTAAAGACATTAGCAGGACATTTCTGTGTGACAGCACTCAGAATATACCTGAATAATGTGATGTCTTTACTGTGCCTAAATCACAAGACACACAGCATTAGTATCTATTTATATTTATCATGGACCTCGTTGGGATTGGCTGGGTTTTAGGGAGGCCATTACATGTGTGCACTGAAAATGCATGAGAAGTAACTTAACACAGCTCATATGTACAACCTCAGTGACCACACTTGCTAACGAGAGAGATACTCCCACTAACTAGACAAGGATGCCTTATACAGTGACTCACTTCAGAATACAATCCCTGACACAAGAGAGCCAACACTATCAGGCCCATTTAACACATCGCTTGCCTTTATCACAAAAACCTTGCGCATGCAATGACTGTCAGTAATCTGACTACCACATTGAAATAGAGCAATGCTTTACACTATAAACTGTAGAACAACTGCCTTAACCACGTAAGGCATGTTGGAATATAACTCTTTTTAATAGACCTCTCTGACATATAAATGCAGTAAGACCTACTAGTTTCGCATACTAGTGGTAACCTGGTCTCTCCTACCAATCTGAAGAGAAATAGTCATTAGAATGAGAGAACTGAATTCATACTTGAAGGTAAACCCATTGCTGACAATGGTGTTCAAATGCACACACACACAGCTGTTCCCTAGAAAGGAACCGCTACTCTGGAGCAGCTGCACAAGGCCACCAAGGCTCAATGCCAAGCGTCTGCTAGAGGGGTTTAAAGCCCCCCCCCCAGAACTGTGTTCTCCAGAGTGACGGAGCCTTTGAAATAGTTGGAGTACTGCGGGTTATCGAGAACTACCCATCCAACCTCACTAATGCTCCTGTGGCTGAATAAATCAAATCCTCAGTGTTCCAGCATCTAATCTAAAACCATCCAAGAAGAGTCAAGGCCGTTACTGCGGCAAAGCAGAGGGCAAACAAACTCCCCACAAATACCCCTGACTTCAGAAGAAACGCTGGATGAGCACAGGTATCTGCAGCACATCTGTCTTCCTTAACAATTTCCCCAAAGGTTTAGTGTGCAGTCATAAAAAGTGATCATCTGCGTTTTTAATCATTCATTACACATCCATCTGCAAACTGAACAGAATTTAGAACCAAGATTTATGCTTTATTTAGGCAGCTTTTGGCTTTCCTGCCCTGCTGCTATCAGACTCTGGCCTTCTCAGATGCCAGAAGTCAAAAGTGAATAAAAACAAACAAACGAAGGCCTTTAGCACACAGCAGGCCCACCCTCTCGACAAGTAGCAGAGGAGTAAAGAAACTCTCAGCAAGGCTAGAAAGAGCAATTTCCTGCAGTAATCTAACAGGCGTAAACCAACAGTGTACAACCATGGAACATGAAGCAGAAAATCGCAGGTGTACTCACACGCGTGTGATTCACTGAGTGTAACTTTGGCATGAATGTGAATCTTCAGTGATTCTGACAGTCTGTAAACACAGCAAGCCGCCCATTCGTTTTGGGCTAAACTAACGACGCCATGAAATCTCGCCCTTTTCGGGTTGGCCAGCAGCTTACGTGTGGCGTGACGCAACCCCCTCAAAAACAGACGTCAATCAGAAACGGAAAAAAATCAAAACACACGCAGCTAATTTGTCTTTTTTGCCGTTTTTTTCCGTTTCTCACGAATCCTGTGACAACATTAAGATAAAGTCGACCGTCTTCCAAGAGCCATTAAAAAGTCCTAGCAGTGCCGCTCGTGCTGAGAGTGAGAGAGTGAGAGAGTGGCAGTGCCAATGTTGGCGTGCAGCACATCCATCTGCCCTCCAACACCACCGCCTCTCTCTCCACACGCTCGAGCCCCGAGAGTCTCAGTTCATTTCATTAAACGCAAGTCGCTCCCTAGTCCTGTTTACTGACCTCGTGGCGCGCGTTTGGACTTCTGTCCACACATGAAGTAGTTTCAGTGACCGCAGCTGCCTTTGTTTTCAGTGCAGCGCGGTCCGGCAGACCGGACAGCATCTGACCGCAAGAGTGATGCGGCACGAGCTCACACAAAGTAGGCTCTCAAAAGCCTGAGGAAGTCTGGCTTTTAGCTCCACTGACGGTTATAGCATAAAAATAAAAATCGATAAAGCAACTTCTGTGGAGATTTAGTGTCCGAGTGGGCAGAACGCATTACAGTCTTCAGCCAACTTCCTAATGTCTAATGCAGAATATGGGCGACCCTAATAACGACTTTATGTCACAGCACAGAAGAAATAATGTCATGTAGATTCAGTTTTTTTAAACCGTGCCAAAGTAAATAAAGCACATAAACACGCGTCTATTCATCTAATTACACACGGTTTAAAAATAATAATTCTCTTAGTTTAAGGCTGTGAGGTGCTTTTAAGACACCATTATTTCCCTCTGCTCTGTTCATGTGAGTGATTGACGCATCCCCCCAAAAATCCCACCTAATCTGCGATTATAGCAGCAGTTGGTGCGTTTTCTCCGCAGTCCACTGTGAAGGTGCGAACCTCTCAAACGCATTTAGGACTCTGTTTACGTTCATTTGAACTTTTTTAGTTTTCTAACAGAAACACAGAAGCGGTTTATGCGTGTGCTGTGTGAAGTTTACCTGTAGTACACACGATGAGATTGGCTTGCAGAATAAGAAATAGTTCCCAGATAATATCCATGGTTTCTCTTCATTCCAGGTACATCGCGCTCGGGAACGGGGAGGCGGGGTGATCAGTGGCAGATGCGGCGCGCGCTCCTTCCTCCAGGCTCTCTCCTCAGCACACACATGGCAGGCTCATTGCTGAAGCCACGGCTAAAATCCACACACTGCAAAACTTCGACCAGAAATCCTCAGCGCGGCCACTTCACACGACGCTTCGCCTCGTCCCACAGAAACCTCCATCCAAAAAAGCGATTCAAACAAAAAGCAGCGCGCTCCCCACAGAGCCTTTACCTTCCCGGGAAAGCGAGACGCAGCCCGCGCGCCACGGCCATGATGCACCCGCTCATCTGATCCAACACGGAGGGAGAGAGAGACAGAGAGAGAGAGAGAGAGAGAGAGAGAGAGAGAGAGAGGGAGAGAGAGAGAGAGAGGCAAAAGCGTGAGTGAGTATGAGAGAGAGAGAGAGAGAGAGAGAGAGAGAGAGAGAGAGAGAGAGAGAGAGGGAGGGAGGCTAAAGCGTGAGTATGAGAGAGAGAGAGAGAGAGAGAGAGAGAGAGAGAGAGAGAGAGAAAGAGAGAGAGAGAGAGAATAGAAATAGGAAATAGGATAGAAAGGGTATGTGATGTAGAGAGAGAGAGAGAGAGAGAGAGAGAGAGAGAGAGAGAGAGATTGATTTTAGGAGTGAGAGATATAGAAAGAGAGACAAAGCTATGGGAGAGTTAGAAAGGTTGAGGGATTTAGAAAGAACTATTTGAGAAAGATTGGAAGGCTAATTAATGCTGAAAATGAGAGAGTTAATGTTGAAAGTGAGAGAAAGAAAGAAAGAAAGAAAGAAAGAAAGAAAGGAAGAGGGCTAAGGAGAGAGAGATAGTAGAAGTGAGAGATATAGAAAGAGAGAGAGCGACGTGTTATAACTCAGGCGGGCTTTAACCAGTGATGTAGTCCTCGCTGTAGCTGCTAGGGGGCGCGCTGATGTCAGAGCCGCTGAGCCCCACACCCCGGCGCTCGCACTCAGAGACATAATGCGCGCGCAGCCTGCTCTGCACTGCTTCATGGTGCCCTGCTGTAGAGGGGCAGTGGGATTAATGCAGCCTGGAGAGCCAAGAGAACTGAACGCAAACTCCAAACCAAATTCACACCCCCTTCAGCAGTCTGTTCAAAGCACAGATAAAGGGTAAGCCATCACTTTCATATCTAATACAAGAGGCCAGGTAATTGCCATGTTTGTCAGTAATATAATGAAGGAGTGTCTTACCTGGCCTGCTTACGTCATTAACAAATAAAACACCTACATTAGGGAAATTCCACCAATTTTTCACAATTTCTACATAATTTAGGTGTGAGTCATAGGAGTGTGAAGCCTTTAAAGCAGCATTATGCAAGATTTTTTTTTTTTTTTTTGCTCTTGGGCTCTCCCTATTGTTGCAAAGTGTATTTCACGTGTACACCACTGTTGTAAATAAAGATCGCCCTGTGAGCCCCCCGCTTGGACAGCTGTACACATGTATTTGTTGACTAGCTGAGGGATACAGAATCCAACACTCCTTCGCGTGCACGCACATCACGTAGGCTTATGGACACTACAGATTACACTCGTAATTTCAGATGTTTCTATGTGTAAATAACCGAAATCGCAAGTGTAATCTGTAGCGCCAATATGCCTGCATGACACGCATGCATGCGAAGTGGATTCGGATTCTGTATCCGTCAACAAGGCAGAGTAATATTACAGGATTTTATTGTAAACTTTCAGGGATTATTTGGCATGAGATTGACAAAGACTGACCAAAGGCATGAGATAAATTTATTTCTTTACATGCTAACTTAGCCTGAAACAGGATTGAGGTTAAATGACTTTTTGCATCCGGAAAAACTACAAAACTACAAGACAGGGATGACACAGATAAGGTTACAGCTTATGACACAGTCTTTCATGAATAACATTGGCAGCGATTGACACTCTGCTGTCGGTTTCCGTTTCGTCTTGCATCCTTCTATCTCTTTTAGCTCTCGCCAACGAGTTGAAGCTAGCCTGAGTTTTACTCTTGTCCAGTCTGTTGTTCAGAAAGCATTCCTCGCTTCCTCTGACAACATCTTCTTCAGTCTCTTCGCAGCCTCTGCCATGATGTCCATGCTGGGAATACTAAACCTTCTTATAACTAGCTAAAGTTCAGTAGTTGTTGTTGGTCGTGTAAAGCATTACGTAGCTCTCATGAGAGGTTTTGCACTCGCTCCTCCAAAGTTACATAGTGCTATAGCAGCCATTCCTGGCCCAGAGTGGCAATAACAGAAACATCACTATCCCCTATTTTAGTAAGTGTGTCATCAAACTGATTTTGAAGCTGTTATTTTAAGGTAAAATTGTTACACAATGTTCCTTTAATGACAAGCTATTTCACAGAAAGTGATTACTTGAAATGGTTATGAGTTCCAGAAGCCTGAGACATTTTTATGTTAGTTTTGCAATAAAGTTTTGACCTAAAACACATTTTTACAACACATACAGGGTGAGGAGGTACATGTAGTTCCCAAAGAAAAGTTTACAAACAGTACAGCTGCTGATAGTACATTGTACAAATACAAATACACATAGTATTTGCACAAATAGCACCCAAAGAAAAATTAGTTCAGATTTAACACTATAACATATTTTCAGATTTACCACTATTTTACCATTATCAACATTCACAGACCATTGTGGAGATCAATTATTCAGAACATTCAGTGAATTTGCCCTATACAGTAATACAGTGTAGCAGGTAATATGGGACATGCATGTCATTGACCCTGAATGATAATGACATTTTTTATTTTGTAATGTAATTAGCATGAACCACTTTTTCATTTTATTCATTTTCAGTGCATACATCAGTAAACATTAGCTAAAATAGGAATAAATAAATAAAGTTTCTCAAAGTGTCTCCTACCTGTTTGCCTATAATACCCAAATTCACTCTAACAAGAAGAACAAAAACAACAGCAACAACAAAAACAAAAACAAAAAACAGAAACAAGCAAGTGATCACAGTACCAAAGCACAGGTGCTTGCAGTAGTTGCATTCACCATCTTATACAAATGAAACAATAGAGAGATGGTAGGGTGGCTGAGGATACAGCCAAAAAGCATTATTCATATTCCCATAACAACACTTCTGCTGTCTCAGGTGGTTAAGATTCAAGATTGAACTAAAATGAGTACAAGGAGCCTCTGTTAGATGCTGCAAATTTGTTTCATATAGTGTGTTACCTCACAGCAGTAATGTAGCAAGCAAATTGATGCTATTCTATTAGTGTACATGATAATAGTAGATCTAGGCCATGCGCTTCTGAGGCCTTTCATGTCAGAATATACATTTAGGCAAATCCCAAAATAGCACAGTTGAAGCTGGTTTTCCAGACACAGTCCAAGCCTTGGACCTCCTTCGGTAGTCATTCTCTATTGAAATTCCTTTGTAGTATAGGACACTGCTTAAAGGCAGAGATTTGAAAAGCTATAAGATGCCGGCAGATCTACTGTAGCTGTGTCTTAGCACCCAAACAGATTTTGAAGCCCATAACCTCTCTGTGTAGCACTTCCGTTCTTTCCCTGTTTATCACTACTGTCTGGTATAACTTGTGAGCTTTCATGTCACTTGAATTTCTTATTGAGGTCACTTTTTCTTTATATTACAGACTTAACCTAAAGATTAATACAGACAAAAAAATCAATGGGGCATAATACAATGAAGGGTATAAAACCAGTGAATGATTTTATACACTGCAGCCTCACATATACTATAGCTGTCCTTAGAGCAGCAGGGCTCCTAACTGGTTCAAAGAACAAAAATGCAGACCAGATATGAACTTTATTTTAGGAAAAAAACAAAACAAAACAAACGAAAAAAAAGAAAAGAAAATGTAATCATTTTGAACTGTTCCAGAGCAGAAACATTCACTTACATCCTACATATTTGTTTGTATTTTTTTTTCTCTTGAGGCACACTTATACATTTATGTGATTTTATGTGTCAAAAATAATATTTAAATAATAATGGACTATTTTCTGATCTCTCTTTATACCTTAGAACTAAACAGGCTGTTTTTGTTGTTGTGCCTTTAAACTGATCTAAGATAATGAGCTCTGTTCTGGTCGCCATGTATTGCGTCTCATTCAAAAAGCACTCAGAGCTGAGCTTCTATATGAATGGGTGGAGCTAAAGTGCAGTAGGCTAAATAGATGGATAGCTGCTTTTTGTGACATCACTAAAATGATTGTATTGTGAGTTAAAAACAGCATTGTTTGCATATATGGAGTGTATCAGCTGGGTAGTAAATAGTATTGTTTGAAACTTTGACAATGTTTACATGTTTGAGGTGGCTGACAAGACCCTATGCATAGTACAATTAAAACACTTGGCAAACTCATAAACGCACTGCAAACACAGAAAATACTTTCATCTAAATGACTACACCTGAACTGCATTTCCAAAACGTGCTGCAAATACAGAAAACACTTTCAAAATGACTACATTGGAACTACATTTTACAAACGCACTGCAAATAAAGAAAACACACACAACTTCAGAAACACTGCAACGCCAGTCACAACACAATGGAAATGTTTCTGAAAGACTCAAAGGGGTTTGAATATCTTTGATGGAAAATCACAGACAGAAATAGATAAAACCACAGACACTCACATCCCAAGTTCATGGTTAACCTGGCTGGCTAATTTGCTATATGATGTGTCAAGGCTGTACTGTGGGAGTTATCTTGTGTTACTAGTTTAACTTTTACAGTTACTCTACAGCTAATTCCCATTACGATACAGTGATGTCAGTAATCTCCTCAAATAATAGTTAACTTACTTTTGCAGGTGAATGTTTGTAGAATTTAAAAGCGTGAATGGCTCCGTCCTCTTTGAGAGCCCGTCAGAAACATGTCTGTTGTGTTGTGACTGGCTTATCAGTGTTTCTGAAGTTGCATGTGTTTTCTGAATTTGCAGTGCATTTATGAAATGTAGCGTCGGTGTCGAAATTTTCAACTGTTCAACTTTCAGATGTCTTTGGTTCAATAGTAGGTCTCACATGCTTTTATTCACTGGATCATTTTACACATATTGCAGCATCTCAAAAGCTGAATGTCTAAAAGAAGGTAGTTACATTATTGCATTTAAGGCTTTCTACACTATCATAACAACCTTGAGAACAGAAGCGTTTAAATGTTTTTTATATCGCTTCCAAGCTCTGCCTTGAAGCACAAGCATAGAAGTGCTCTAACTTCAGATACAATGAAAAGTAGCATTACAGGGCCATTGATATGTTGAATTAAGATGCTCTGGAGCTGCTGCACATGAGTCTAAAGTCATCATGCCCAATGACAAGCATCA